AACAAGTGTCTTACTAGTAGTAACAAGAAGCTGTTTGAAAGAAGCTATTAGAAGCTATGATATATGTGTATATATACTTCTATAAGTCTATAAGTGTGTGTTTTGTTCACATCAGGTTCCGAAACTGTTGGTGACTTTTCAACATGGATTCCATGGGCAGAAACACCTGGATGAAGGCTGCTTTTTGCCTCGCAGTTGTTGGACCACAAAGAGCAAGAACCGCCAGCGTCGTGGAACCACGAATGCCATCTTCAGATCCAGTGCTGTGGTGCAAGAGTCAACGTTCTACGTCTTGAATCCATTTGGACACTTCCGGAATTTTTGGGACTTTGTTGGCATCATTTTCCTGATCTTGGATTCCATCATTTTGCCATTGCAATTTGTGAACGACGAGCTCTACTCAACCTACCCCTACCTCGAGGTGAATGCCCGCGTTGCAGTTTTCTACTGGCTTGCGGACATCATCCTTTCCTTCTTCACCGGCTACCTGGAGAGCCTTGGGTGTTGTAAGTCCAGCTATTTCAGCTTGAAACGTGCCTTTGAGGATTATGTCGCCACTGAAAAGTCACACCAAGATTCCGGCAGACCAACTGAGGAAGGTAACTTTGATACAAGATAATCGAAAGATCATCATGCGCTACTTGCGAACGTGGTTTGTCCCAGACCTCATTGTCACGGCAATTGATTTGGTTCTGGAGCCTCTCGGCATGCTATAGCTTGAGAACCGTCATCATGCTCTTGTAGTATGCTGTTGTGCTTTCTATTGGCATCTATTAGTTGCCCTAATCCCTGCATTTTTTATGTTCAGCCTGTAAAAGCCCGAGAACCAGCAGAGACATGCCCAAAAATAGCTTTGAACACATCAACACAAAATTCAGACAAACCAAGCTCGGCCAGAGGCTGGCTACTGTTAAGGGGAATTCACGAAGCAAGCTCAAAAGATCAAGCTTGCCATAGCGTGCGGCATAGACTCTCGGAGTTGCTTCAGATCTGCTCAGATCAATCGAGTGAAGTGCAGGTTCGCGAAAACGAATTTCCCTGATGTCCGCACACCTTTCTAGTAACAAGAAGCTACTAGGGGCCATACCCACCAGGTACAAGAAGCTACTAGTAACAAAGGGCATCGCTACTAGGAGCAAGGGCGCTACTAGCAAAAACGTTGCGTTAATCTCCACCTCCTTGATCCTGCTTGCAATAAACCATGGACACGTGTCCCCAACTCCCCTTGTGCTGAAAGGGCAGGTTTGAAGAGCTTTTCATACCCGCTCGCGTGCTAGTTTGCCCAGGCAATGACAGAATGTGACAGACCTGGCAGAAACTGATGAGGTAACCATTCAACATGTCCGTGCACACCTTGTTGCACACCAACGGGCCCCGTGCCCCGCGAGCAGACAGATTGAATGTATCCGAGGTTCTCCAATGGTGGCGACACAGATCGTGCCAGCACACGGATTTTGAGGCTTCTGAGGCACGCGGCAGGGACAGTCGGACTACACAAAAGCTGGACTGCAGTCGGGGCTTCCAAAAAACATGCAAAACATTGCAACGCAGTTTGGCTCTGATAGATTTTGTGTGGGGGGGGGTGCACCTCATAATTACTCACCCGCAGCGGGTTTCCAAGATTCAGCGTACCAAACCATCCCAAATTCCCTTCCGTGTGAGGCTCTTTCGTGTGGTGCGATTGGGCAAGCTAACTCGCTTCGCTGTGTTCCTTCGAGACACCTGCGAGACTCAGGTGCGAAAAGTCGTGTTGCTTTTGACTAAGGCGCCGAAATCACAGCATTGCGTTTGTTATGATTGAGACAATTGATAGCTTCCGCCACTTCATTCTTGTTGTTATATATATATATAATCTTTTTATACTTGTATACAGTAAGTATTGGTTGAAATTGGGAAGCAGCACGGTGTTTGAAGCCTGAAACCCAGGTGGCGTCTATTCAATTCAGTTTGGTGATCATTATGACCGGCATGATGCTCCTCGAGCACGTTCTTGCTTGCGGTTGGTTTGGGGTTGGCTACTATGATTCGGCCAATGGCAGATCATGGCTGCAAGAGAACAATCTCAAGGAGGTGTCTGAGCTAAATAGGGATGGATTGGGGATTGCAAAAAGCGGATTCTAAATGCTAACTACTTTGTTGTTAATCTAAGCAGGCAGAGAGCAGCTGGCAAGCTCAAACTCAAGTGTTGATCAATAGAGGCCCCCCAATCCCCAAGTCGAGCATCATGCGACTGCATAGCATGTGAATTGGTGCCCCGCAGCAAGGAGGTGAGCAGTTGCCACTCTCAAAAAGTAGCAGTGCAGTCCACCAGTAGCGTAAACGTACGCAATACTTACATATTGGTGCTCTTCACCAGCACTTACCGACGCAGCTAGCGAAGAAGCACCACTTCGGCAGCAGCACGACACGCCGTAAGAACAAGAAGCTCCCAACGACGTCGTGAGTGCCACCATTCCACAACAACCATCACCTGCCCACCAGGGAAAATGCATACATTTTCTCCAGCGAGATGCAGAAACAGACCAAGTTGCGAGCTCTCGGAACGTGTCACATCACCATGGCTGAAGGCACTGCTGAAGGCATGCCACTTCACCACTTGTGACAACATGCAACTTCACCAATGGTGGAAGCCTACCACTTCTGCAAACGGTGGGCTTCCAGGTGTCCACTTTTTGGGCATAGGATGGCAGGGGAACTGTTTTGAGACCAGCACTTGGAGGTCTTGAGGGAGCTCATCCCTAAGCAGTTTTTGGACACTCCAAACCCCTCCAGTGTGTTTGTTTGCTACCTGTGCACTTCCGCTTGCCTCTTTGTCAGAGCTTCTTGTACAGCAAGTTCTGTCCGGTCAAATGCACCTGTCAAGATTCTTGCGCTTCACTCAGGAAACCTTCTACAAGCAGTACACAGCCAGTTTGAACCTGGGCCTGTTCGTTACTTGTGAGCATGATGAGACACACATGTGCACACAAATCCCCACCAACTCTCAGGAGATGGTCCTTCTCACAGCTTGGCATTGGTGGAACAAACATTGAAGCGACCAACGAACCTTTGAAGCACCTCTTGGAGATTTTACGTGTACTGTGTATATACATACATATATATAAGAAAGGTTCACTAAAGCTAGAGTTTTCAAACCCTGGTTGTTTCGGCATGCGGTGCACTGCAGCATGTAGCATTGTCACCACCGACCAAGCTTCGGTACAGTGTTCCTAGCCAGTGAAGCCATGCTCTTTAGAAGGCGAACTGAAAAGGCAACCTCCATAAGGGGCAATCCATTTGGAACATATGCGCGCGGAAGGAGTTTCGCATTTGCACAGCTTCCACCCATTGTTTTTTTCATCCACCACTTTGGCCACCCTTTGGGCGAAACTGTTAGCCGTGCACCTCTTTTTAAAACCTGCCGTGGCTCATCCACTTCAGCTTCTACGATAGGGTCATGTTCGATGGTCGTCTCCTCCTCTGCATTCTCTTTCTTTTCTTCAACCTCATGCAGTTGACAGCGGGTGTGGACGACTGGAATTGATCAGGGCGGCCATTGTAAGTATTTTGCCAAATGAACCTGAGGAACTTCTGAGAGGACTTTGTTGTAGTCCCTTTCCACTTCGCCAGTACCCCCCTCCATTTGCAGCTTCCCAGCATGCTCTCTTTCTTTCTCTCTCTCTCTCTCTTAGTTGGCGCCGCCACGTGGCAAAAGCTGAAGTGCAGAGATTGCACCCTGTCTGCGCTACAGGGGTGCTAGACCTGTTGTTAAGTCGGAGCGTTTGAGGAAGTTGATGGAACCTTGCATACCTGCAGCATATGCAACCACCAAAGGTTATGCAGTCCACTTGTCATGCTCCCAGTAGGCGGTATGGTAAGCGTGTGGCTTGGAGATGGTCTATACATATGGAATATGTTACCCTTCTGGAAGGGAGATTACTTGTTATATAGAGATGTAGCTGCAGCGGTGGCCGCTTGGCACGCGTCAATGAACCCAGCAGTCTTGAACGCATTCTCAAATTGCTTCTATCTCTTTGTTGGAGTGCATGTCGGTGCCAAGTCAATTCTCGACCACGGCGATGACGAAGATGCCACCGACCATTCAAATCGTGCCCGCATTGAAAGGCTAAGCTCAGGGCCTGTCGTAGAGTTTTGTCAGGTTAAGTACTTTCTGAGGTGCAAGGCCGCGCAAGCGCCAGCCAATACAAACATCAGCCAAAGCTGAACCCAAACTGAGGGCACTAAGAGGAACAATCCGGACATTACTAGCAGGTTGGCAAGCCAACATGCGGACAATGTGGCCTCGCTCGACTGGAGGAAGTTCCGGAAGTCAGAGCCAAGACGTAGACCGACTGTCACTATGCCCCCAGTTTGTCGGTCGGCCAATGCCAAATGGAAGAACAATTGGTCAGTTGTTGGCCATACTATGCTTGATAGCAATGTGGCAATGACAAGAAGTGAGCAATGAGTAGGTTGTAGGCTACTAGGTACTAGGTTATACTTTGGGCAATCCAGCTGGTCTATGAAAGTACAGGCCTGACATGGCGAGCATTAGCAGCGACAAGGAGGAACAACAGCAAGCAGTTCCGAGCAGGAGGATCTGGAGCAGGAGTTGAACCACTTTCCTTAAGCACGAAAAAACATGAAAAACACCTAGATTGCTGGAATAATTACCTCACGGTGCGCATTGCTTCGTTGTGCTGCTGGAAGAGTTTGTGGCATGGGAGCTGTGATTTTTGTGGCTTGCAGTGAAGTCTTCGCAGTTGCGCTGCACACTGAGCTATGCCATTGGTTTCACCTGAGTTGCTTTCTCATTTGCAAGTACCCATTCGTTGCTTAATATATTATTACAATTTGATATAATGAAATGTGAATATCTCATGATAAATTAGGTTGTGCACGTTCCTTTTCTGTTAATCCTTGCCACGCATGATGATCTGGGGAATCGCCTTTGTTTGGCCATGTCACTGCAATCTTGCAGAGCTCACAGCTGCTTTGACGTTTGGAATTTTATTAGTAGCAAGAAGCTACTAGGTTGGAGGCCATCGCTATTAGGTTGGAGGCCATTACTACTAGTAACAAGAAGCTACGGAGCAAAGGGCATCGCTACTAGGAACAAGGACGCTACTAGGTGCTCCTGGCCTTACTACCAGGAGCAAGAAGCTAGTAGGAACAAAGGCTTCTAGGTTGGAGGCCATCGCTAGTAGGTTGCTCTGCCGCACAGTGGCGATGTTGGTTTTGTTGGTCAACATTTGCCCTGCCCTCAGCATCAGTTCGTCCACTTTTTGGGGGCTGTCCACAGAAACGTCACACTGAGAGCTCCCAAAGTTCTTGGGCACTTAGTGAGACTTAGTCAGGTGAGCGAGGGTGATAGAGCCAGACCAAAGACAGATGGACAGAGTCAACATTAGACAATTGCTTTCGTTCTCAACCTACCACTATGGTGGTTTTTGAAGCATCGGTTCCTTTTGAGGAACGGGAAGGAACATACAGCATTGCAGTTTCAGTGATCTCTTTGGCCACTTGGCTGGCAAGAAAGGCCAGGAGCTCCTAGTAGCGTCCTTGCTCCTAGTAGCGATGCCAGGAGCCCCTAGTAGCGTTCTTGTTC